TGTACAATGTTACAGACCTCCGTCCATAGTTCTTCAGGTACTCTGTCTACCAAATCTAATCTAATTGAATTTATAGCCCCTTGATAACAAAAGTAGTGCTGATAAATGTTTTGCTCCTGTTGTGAAACACACCACAATTAGAATGCTTCTAAATCTAGCAGCATCCAGGAACACGGACATCGAACACTTAGATGTTAAAACTGCATTTTCACATGGGGAGATAGAAGAAGAGCTTTACATGACACAGCCTCCAGGCATCACTAATCCCAACACCAAGCTTCTCGTCTGCAAGCTTCAGAAGGGGATTTAAGCTTCCAGAGTGTGGAATGAAGTTAAACCAAATACTTCTTGACCAGGGTTTCGTTCAAGGAAAAGCTGATCCCTGCCTATACACAATACACAGAAATGGGAGGGATGTGTACATACTTTGTTATCTGGATGATTTAATGATTTGCCACAATAACAAGAGGGACTTTAATGATATTGTTTCTCAACTAATTTAAGCTTCCAGAGTGTGGAATGAAGTTAAACCAAATACTTCTTGACCAGGGTTTCGTTCAAGGAAAAGCTGATCCCTGCCTATACACAATACACAGAAATGGGAGGGATGTGTACATACTTTGTTATCTGGATGATTTAATGATTTGCCACAATAACAAGAGGGACTTTAATGATATTGTTTCTCAACTATAGAGAAGTAGAAGTGAAGCATCTGGGCAATGCCAGCTGCTACTTAGGAATACAGATTGAGAGAGAAGAAGATGGGAGCTTTCTTCTGAGTCAGAACCAAAAGATTCTAGATCTGTTGGAAAGCTTAGGATTGCAAAATGCCAATCCTGTGCCTACACCGATGGAGACGGCTTTCCACAAGCAACAAGAACCCAGCGATCTCCTACCAGAGACCGATGAATATCGAAGTGCCATAGGAAAATTGTTGTATTTGGCCACCCCCACTAGACCAGATGTTGCAGCTGCAGTGGGCATTCTGTGAGAAAGTCAAGCACGCCCACCCAGAGAGACTGGACTGGTGTCAAGCAGGTAGGAAGGTACCTAAAGGGGACCATGCACCTAAAACTAAATCTGCCAGCCACTGATAATCCTAGACTAGTGGGATTCAGAGATGCAGACTGAGCAGAAAACACGGCTGACCGTAAGTCCACTAGTGGCTATGTATTTTTCTATGGGGGTGGAACAGTGAACTGGGGAAGTCACAAGCGAAGCACAACAGCACAGTTCTCTGCAGAAGCGGAGCACGTGGCAGCAACAGACACATGTAACGAGACTCTATGATTGTTGCTTGCAGACATGGGTATAGAGGAACCCACCCCTATAAAAATCTTTGAAGAGAATCAGAGTTGCATCAGACTTTCACAGTCAGAGAATGTAGGTGGGAGAACTAAGCACATTGATGTAAAGCATCGTGTGGTGAGAGAGTTGCAACAACAAGGGCTAATCCAACTAGACTACTGTCCCACAGGCAATATGACAGCGGATATCTTCACGAAGCCGTTGTCAAGAACCAGATACCTGGAACTAAGAGAGAAACTAAATGTTGTTGGACACGGAGACATGCAAGGTTGAAAAGAAGGGGTGTTGGAAAATATGGGGTTCCAACCAAGCCTGTCTCACAGAAGCACAAAGCGAGGGGTGGCTCTGCTGTGGCCTAGCTTTGCTGCTTTGTGGAGCCCCCTTTTTTCCTGTTTCCCTCATTTTCTCACTCTTCTCCTCACAGGTCTCCACGAGGTAGGAAAGAACCCTCTCTCCTCCTCATGGGTTTTGAACTAACATTTCACAACCCCAACATCTTTTGAGTCCGTCCTGACTCTTAGCACTGTCAGCCATTCTCTCAGAAGCCTCCTTCCTTGGGCTGAGAGGGGGCGGCTGGCCCAAGGTCACCCAGCTGGCTGCTTTGCCACAAAGGCAGGATGAGGACCCCTAGTTTCCCCGTCTCTGGCCTGGCACCTGTCATCACTGCAGCAAACTGGCCCTCTGCCAACAACTGTTAGCCCCTCCTTTCCTTGGCTTCAAAACAAAGGAAAGAAAGGAAAAAATTAGTACACAGCCTTGACAACTGCCACTCCCTTTGCAATGGCATCCTATCTCAGTCCGAAGGTCTTGTTGGGTTCAGTGGCAGAGAGGCAAGAAAACCAGACAGCATCAGCAGTCCCCTCCAAACTCCTTCCCTCCCCGCCTCTTCCCTCGGCCTCCTACCCATCCCTCAGCAATGCAGAATTTGCAAGTTATTCACCAGCTTAACTAAGGTGGAAAAGGTAAACAAAATTACATTGTCTTCTATAGATTTCTTGCTTTCTAAAAGTTCAGCCAAGCCTTCTGTTCCCTTTTAGCTGCTATCAGTGCAATTCATTTACAGTTTACATCATCGTTTTCAGTTTCCATAAAGAGAAAAACATTTCAACGCACACGCATTCATCCCATTAATTCATTTGTCAACACGCAACCATTGCAATTGCAAAATAGCCTTACTCAGACTTGGTACCGCTAGAAACTGCCCACCCCCCTAGAGAGGGGTTGAGCTGAACACAGACATAAAAGAAGCTGCTAAGAAAAAGAAGAAAAAGAAGATTTCACAAACCTTGCAGGCAGTGGTTTTCAGAGCTCTCAAGTTTTACACTGCGGCCAGGCATTTTTACCATAGAACTTTGCAGAACAGCATTACCTGCAGTATGGTGCTGTAATCCATGAAGACTTCAGGTGGCCACTTAGGTTCTCTTGTTAGTTTTTCCGCGAAGATATTAGCTGACTTTTAGTTAAGGGGTTGCCACCTCCCAGTTCTCTGAAACTGGAGAGCACACATCCCAAGGGGCCTCTTCTTATGTCCTTGCCCCGTCCCATCGCTTTCCTTTGCCACCTGTCTTTGCCACCTGAAACCATCAACAACATCTTTGAAGGAATAAAATCCACCAGAAAGGAAGAAAACAGCAACAGCCTTCCCTTCCTGGATATCCTCAGCAGCAGAGGAAACAACAGCAAATCAGAAACTCAGGTCTGTCGGAAGACAGCCCACACTAATCAAGTGCTCCATGACCAAAGTAACAACCCAAAGTCCCACAAGAGGAGCTGCGTAAGAACATTATTCAAGTGAGCACAAGCGCCCTGCAGCAACCCAGAACAGCAGAAGAAGGAAACAGACCCCCTCTACAACATCTTCCAATGAAATGGATATCCAGCAACTTTCATGTCTCTGTAGGAAGGGCTTTGCGTCTTGGGCACAAGGTGGTGTTGGTGGTGGGGGAACAGGAGCTTTCTAATTTCTCTCATTAAAGACATTAAAGCTAAGAAAAGGAACCACTAGTCAAGGCTATTTTTCCTTCCTTCCTTCCTGGCTTCCTTCCTTCCTGGCTTCCTTCCTGGCTTCCTGGCTTCCTTCCTGGCTTCCTGGCTTCCTTCCTGGCTTCCTTCCTTCCTTCCTTCCTTCCTTCCTTCCTTCCTTCCTTCCTTCCTTCCTTCCTTCCTTC